GTTCCCCAGCTTGTCATTTTTCCTTTGACTTCCTTTATGAAGTTCTGAAAGCATAACATTTGTAAGTCATAAATTTATTTTCTTCTTTGTGACTTCTGGATTTTATATCTTTCTTAGAAAGGATTTCCCATTTTAAGATTATAAATAAATTCACTCATTCCTTATTCTAGAACTTCTGGGGCTTCCTTTTTACATTTCAATCTTTAACTCACATGGAATATGTTTTGTTGTAATGAAGTAAAGATTGAGCTGTATTTTTATTTTCATGCTTTAAAAGTTAGCCAGTTGTCCCAAAACTGTTTATTGAATACAGGGAGTCTGATCAAAGAGTTTTATTTTGCTTAATCACATCATTTTTATAAGAAAGACTTAATCATTATATTTCTGTTTGTTTATGAATATTTGGAGGCTTCTTCAATCTACTAAATAAATTTAGAGACAAGGCTGTGGACTTAATAACTAGTAGACAATCTAGGGAAGAAAATGGGGTTCAAGGTAGAATTGCATGGTACTGTATTTGAGACTATTCTTCATTCACATTATATTATCTGTCATCCACATAACATCGTGTTAGCAAACCACAAGAATGAGAGAAATTCACAGGCAGCAATGTTAGCTATGGAGTAGAAGATAGCTTTAATAAGATTCAGTAAGTTTATGTATTTCTGTAATGCTGAGGGCTATCATATAATCTCATTTTTATTATGATCCTCCCAACTGTACGTCGAGGTAAGCAAGGAATTCTGTATATTGAAGAAATTAAGTGTCTTGCCCAGGGTCACATGGCTAGAAAGTGACAGAGCCAGAATTCAAACTCTGGTCTCCTGATTCTGAGACCAGTATTCTTTTGACTGCCTTGTACCTGGCATTATGTCATGTCTGGTAGTTTGTACTTTAAGTAATATGTTATCTGAACCCGGCTATGTACACTGAGGCATATTTTAATACATTCAGACTACAAATTACAACAACATGCAATAGGACACCAATCAAAAGTCAGCAAAAAGTGAACTTTGTTAAGTATTATAATCAACTCTTCGGAATGCCAGTTTTTCATAGTGATATTAAGATGTGGTTGTTAAATTAGATCACAAAAATTGCTTTTCTTTTAAATAGAAAATGTTATCAATCACACGGATGAAGAAGGATTTACTCCTCTGATGTGGGCTGCAGCACACGGGCAAATAGCTGTGGTAGAGTTCCTACTTCAGAATGTAAGGAAAATGCCTCAGAAAATGTATATGTATAGTTACTTAAGTTCAGTTAAGTCATTAGTAGAGTTTTTATATATCCAGCCAGCTAGGTATAATGGTAGAGGCTACCAAAAAAAGTTTAATGCTTTTCATATTCTCGTGGAACTTGGATCTAGTTGGGAAGGCAAGACTAATCATACATGCAACAGTAAGAAATAATTTGATGCCCAGACCTCTCTAAGTCCCACGGGAACAGAAGTACTGTCAGCTTTAAAGGAGAGGGCTTCATGGAGGAGCTGTGACTTGACTCCAGAATGAAAGGATAATTAGGATTGATACAGGACAGAGGAAGGAAGGCATCCAGGCAATCTCAATAAAAGCATCCATGAGTGAAAGTTTTCATTATTTCTATATTAAGCCCAGAACATTACCAGGCCTAGTGTTTTACTATAATTATTGTAGACAAGGATAACAATATTCTTGTTTAATTGAGAAGTCTTTTATCTCTACTTCCCATATCAGGGTGCTGATCCCCAACTTTTAGGAAAAGGTCGAGAAAGTGCACTGTCGTTGGCCTGTAGTAAAGGCTACACAGATATTGTCAAAATGCTGCTTGATTGTGGAGTTGATGTAAATGAATATGATTGGGTAAGTTTGTGATACTACATTTAAAATTACTCTAACAAGTTTTAGAATTTGTTTGGTTCAGGAGAGATGCAGTAAGTTTTATTAAAGAAGAAATAGACTGGGCATGGTGATGTACACCTGTAGTCCCAGCTGCTTGGGAGGCTGAAGCAGGAGGATGGCTGGAGCCCAGAAGTTTGAGGCTGCAGTGAGCTATGATTGCACCACTGCACTCCAACCTGGGTGACACAGACCCTGTTTCTAAAAAATAAATCAAAGAATAAATAAAGAAGAATAATTAATTAGCTAAATACCTAGAAGAAAAAGTGAATATCACAGACTCAATTATTAGTTCTGATTTAAGTATCCTTCACAAAATATTAAAATTACTTTAAATGATTGTATGTCCAATTCTAGTAAAACTTCTCACAGCAGCATTAAATTACTTGAGTCTTGCTCACCCTGAAAAACTGAATTGCCTTTTTGTTTTGCAGAATGGAGGAACACCTCTGCTTTATGCTGTACATGGAAATCATGTGAAATGTGTAAAGATGCTCTTAGGTAAGCAGATGAAAGTGAATACTATTTAGAAAATGCCATGTGAGGACTTGATTTTATTTTTTCAACCTGGCCTCCCCTGGTGCTACTCAGGAGAATCGTTAACTATTGTTAAATACATGAATCTTGCTGCTCTTCACCCCTAGAGCACCTGCTACCATAAAGTTGCCCATGTGAGAAGCAGCTCCATCACATACCACACTTGCAATTGGACCTTATGTCCTTGTTGCTTTCATTGGGGGGGTCACATGTGAATCCACTATGTGGCCGGGCACAGTGGCTCATGCCTGTAATCCCACACTTTGGGAGGCCAAGGTGGGTGGATTACTTGAGGTCAGGAGTTCAAACCAGTCTGGCCAACATGGTGAAACCCCATCTCTACAAAAAATATAAAAATTAGCCAGGCAGGTGGGCGCCTGTAATCCCAGCTACTCAGGATGCTAAGGCAGGAGGATCGCTTGAACCCCAGGGGCAGAGGTTGCAATGAGCCGACACTGCACCGCAGCATTCCAGCCTGGGCGATGGAGCAAGGCTCTGTCAGGGGGGGAAAAAAAAAAGAAGAAAAGAAAATGAATTCACTATTGTTTTCTTTCTACAGTGTCCTTACGCATGAGCTTTATCTTTTTTTTTTTTTTTTTTTGAGACGGAGTCTCGCTCTGTTGCCCAGGCTGGAGTGCAGATGAGCTTTATCTTTAACTGTGTATGAGTTTCAGCTACTCCAGAGGATGCTGTTTGTTTGAAGTGTCTTCCCTCCAATCCACTAAAATAAATTCTGAGTACCCCATGCATTCTGTACTTTGTCAGACTATCCTAAAAACATTCTCCAAACTATTTCTACATGAGCCAATAATAGACAAACATACCTGCATTTTCATTTCATTTATGTAGATTTTTCTATTTTGGTATAGAAAGTGGGGCTGACCCAACAATTGAAACTGACTCTGGATATAATTCTATGGATCTAGCTGTAGCCCTGGGCTATAGAAGTGGTAAGTATGTCGAACTCTTGTGTCTCATCTTAGTAAAGCTCTGTAAATAGTGTAAGCCAGTACTCCAAACCATCTTCATCACTGTAATCCTAAAACATGTTATCCCAACTCCTGACATACACTTTTAACTTTGGGAAAAGTCCACAAATTCCTATAAAGTCTAGAAATAAGTTTGTTACTATACTTTTCACCAACTCAAATACTTAGTTACCGGAGCATAAGTGCATACATGTTTATAAGATTTATTTCATATTTTGATAGCAAACCATTTATAGGGCAACCTTAGGATAATCTTGTATTCTGGACTCTACTTCAGTTTCAGAAATACAGAAACCAAGATACAACGTCCAGTAACTTGGACAGTTCCTCAGGGACAGACTAAGTTTCCCAAGTTTTTTAAAGTTTTGCATTGTATTATCACCCTCAGACTATGCATGTATCCTGCTTAGAAATAACTTTATTTTAGGAAAAGATTGGGGATAAGTTAAATTTGATAGTTTTTTAAGAAATTTATAGTCAGTGTGCTGTAATCTTGATTACCTATCTGTTCTAGTTCAACAGGTTATTGAGTCACATTTGTTGAAGCTGCTTCAAAATATCAAGGAGTAGACACATTCATCAGAAAATGTCTGCCCTTTTGTTTACTTGGTCCTTATAAGTGATAGTTTTGTTTACTTATAAATTTTTACCTCAGTTGCAATATTTACTGGTTTTTAGTAGGTTTTAATAAATATTTCTCTGAGTGATTCACTGGTTTATAATAAATTTAATACCCTTTTTATAACTATGTTTTACTGTGTATTTAAAATTATAAATTAATGTTTCATGGCATGTAAATTTTTATGGTACAGATAGTTATCATCGGTCTTTGTATCAAGTGCTGTAATTTGACATTTTCAGAAATTATTCTACCCTAGTCATCTTCACTCATGTATTAAGTCATTCACTTTATATAGGGTTTGTTATAAATCCCTAGAAAAAAATTGTTCTTATTGTTGAATTAAAAAGTGCACAGTGTGATTGTTTACAAAATGATATTATAAATAAATAAAATACTTTGTCTGTCAGTTTGCATAATACTTTTTTTAAGTCTACGAGATTATTAGAGATTTCTTTAGGATTTTTAATTTCACCCTTCTGTCCTGCCGTAATACTTCATTAGATCAAACAATATATGTAATTAAAATAAACTGAATCTAAGTCAATCAACAAAGACTTACTGTCATTTCTAGAAGTATATTTAGAATATTTTTCTCTTTTAAGGAAGTTTTTCAGTAGGAAAAGACCTCTGTGAAGAGAAGTCAGTTCTTCAGTACAAGTGAGATATTCTCTAATGGCACAAAGGGAGCACTATAAATCCGTGTTTCACAGAAGCCGTGAAGAGCGAGCCGTGGGTGCAGGGGCCTTTGAAAACAGTATGCTGAGAATAGATAGGGCTCAAGGACAGTATCTCCAATTGAACTTTTAATGAACTCCCGTAGGCGCCAAGAAGGCGGGCAGATAAGGAAGAGCATAGAAACAAAGAACTGAGTAGAAGGTTACATCTGGGAAAAGAAAGTTTGTTTTGCATTGCATTCTTTCTGCTGACGTGGGGTTTATGGAGTATAAATAAAGTGAGGCGGAGGCTCTGAGCGCGGCCGCCATGTTCTCTGTGTGTCTTTGTCTTTTGTGTGTTCTTTCATTCTCCACCACCCCCGGCACGGACCCCAACAAGTGGCGCAGGGAGCAGGGTCAGCACGGGTGAGTAGGGGAGAACAAGAAGGGGAACCCCCTAGGAGCGGGTAAGGCTCAGATATTGTTAAGGGGAACCTTCTTAAGCTTTCATTATGGGAATTCCATCTCTCTGGCCTCAGAATATTTATGGCTGTTTCAAGGACTGTTGCTGTCTATGGGAGTAGAAGTGAAAGAAAAAGACTTTGAAGCGATTGTTTGCCCATGTTGAACAACATTGTTACTGGTTTCAGTATCAGACTAAAGTGCAGCTGAATCAGGAAAAAATGGTTACAGGTAGTAAAAGCTCTGCTTAGAGCGCTCCAGTTAGGGAATATTATGCCTCTAAAATTGTGGACCTTGTGTAACTCTATCACTCAGACATTAGAGTTACTTGAGACTGATTCGGAGTGTGGTAACGTAGCCACAGGAGGAAAGGTATCTGAGGATTTGGAAAAATAAAATAAATCTGAAATGGAGCCCATTTGTGCCAGGGTAGCAAAAGGGGGAGAGGAGAAAAAGCCAGCTCTTCCTTCTTCTAAGGGAAATTCTGACATGCAGTGTATTATGGAAATGCTTCAACAAATATTACAGATACATTTTTCTAATTCACCTTTGTGAGCTTTCCCTGTTTCTTTTCCTTCCGCCCTGTTAAAAGAGGATTTTCCAGTGCCTCCAACCCCCCGGCTTCCTTATCTTTACCTTTGTTTGGCAAAGTTTTCTCAGTGCCTTGCCCGCCATTGGGGGAGGGAGAGAAGAGAAAAAAAAAATTTTTAAGGAGCTGGATCTGTTTCCAATTATTTGTGCTTCTTTTGCTCCTAATGCTCAGTTTTCAAATGGTGGCAATAAGGTCCAATTCAATGCCTTACAAATTAAATTTTTAAAAGAAATGAAAGCTGCCATTTCTAACTATGAACCCCTATCCTTGGTCTTCTTGATATTTTTTCATCAGAAAATTTGATAATTCCTATAGACTGGAAGACTTTGGGGAAGGCTTTTCTTGATCGTTCTCAGTGGTTACAATTGCACAGCTGGTAAATGAACAAGGTGCATGTACAGGCTAGAAAAAATGTTACGTGTGATCCCCCAGGAGCCACTGAGGAACAACTCACAGGCACGGGCCAATATGCTACTCTTAATGCTCAGGCTGGTCTAGATGATGTTGCCCTTACTCAAATCAAGACTTTGTTTTTAAGGGCCTAAAATAAGGTAGAGATAACAGGAAAATCTTCCCTTTCCTCTGTGAAGATTTTACAGGGCACAAATGAACAATATCCAGATTTCGTAGCCCGTCTTCAGGATGCTGTCTTGAAAATTGTGGGTGCTGACCTTGCTTCAAAAATTTTGTTACAAACGTTGTCTTTTAAAAATGCTTATGCTGACTGTCAAAAATTGTTAAAATCGTTAAAGGCCGATGGGGCCAATTTAGATAAGTATATTAAAACTTGTGTTAGTGTTGGAGGGGCTATTTATAATGCTCAATTATTTGCTGGAGCTTTGTCTAAAGCCTTAAAAGGAAATAACAAATAAGGTGTTTGCTTTCAGTGTGGTAAACCTAGACATTTCAAAAAAGAATGTCATAAAAATTGAACACTTTTATCCCTCAAGGCAGAAAGCTGCCTTCAGAGGTGTACAAATGTTGTGGTAAAGGTCGACATTGGACAAATAAATGTCGTTTCAAAACTGATAAAAGTGGAAATTTACTGTCTCCTCTCCTGGGAAATGGGAGCCGTGGCCCACAGGCTTGGGGCCCCAACAATTTATGTCACCAGGTCTGAAAATGTAGTTGGTTTATCAGTCTTTACAAATGAGAAATATAAGAAAGGAAAAGAATGCACAAACTAACTAGGTTTCTTGTAATAAATCACTAAACTAGTCAAAGGACCAAAAAAATACAAGATCAGCGTGACTCTGAAGGATGTGAGATTATGGTTCTGCACTTGTTACATTAAAGAGCTAAAATAAATAGACGTAATATTAACAATAATAACAGTAATAATAGCCATAGTATACTGACTACTTACTATGTGTCCACTACTGTGAAAAAATCTTCACTTGCATTTAGTTCTTCCAACATCCCTTTAAGACTGACAAATTTTATAATTATTACCATTTTGTAGACAGGAAAACAGAGTTAAGACAGTTTTATAAATGTATCCAAGGTCATATAGCTATTATATTTTGAAAATATGACTTTCTGTCCCCAGAGCTTACATGCTTAACCCTTTCCTCTAGACTGATCTATAAAGTACAAAATTGGTAGTCACCCTCCTTGGAATAATCGGAGGAAAGAAAAATCAATAAGTAAAAGTTGTATCTCAGCACCAGATCCAATCCCAATTTCAAGTACCCATTTAGCCTTGGATTATTGACTGAATCTGCATACAATACCCATTGAGCAATGGCCTACAACATCAAGGAATAAATTCAAGTCCTCCTTAAGGATCCCACACCTTACCCCAGTTTCTCAACCTTATGCGGCAACTAAGCAGAGCGCCGCTGCTGACTTAGCTATTACTCAGCCTTATACTTTGTCTCCTAATAGAGGAGTATATAAATTAGCTATTAGAGTATGTGGCCCTTTGCCAAAAGGACATGATGTTACTAATAAAATTCTTATTATGTTCAAGTCTCACAATTTATATGCCTAGAGGCAGGGGAACGTATTCTCAATAGGAAGGGTTTGGTAGCACAGAAAAAACTGTTTTTTGGGAAACTTTAGTTTCTAATCAAAAGCCCTTATGTTCATTGCATATTAATGAAATAGTTTTTAAGGGGTTAATTGATACGGGGGTGAATATGTCTATTATTTGTTTAAATTAGTGGCCTATACAATGGGAAAAAAGACAAGTTTCAGTTATACTCACTGGCTTGGGTGCTGCTTCTGTGATTTATCAAGACGTAGAACCTTTAACCTGTGTCGGTCCTAAAGGTCAACAAGGTCAAGTGTTTTTTTTTTATTATTTTTATATTGTTCCTATCAATATTAATTTTTGGGAACAAGATCTTTCACAACAATTTGCTGCTTTTTTAAACATTCCTTATATTTCCTCAGCTGCCAAAAATATGATGTTCAAAATAGGCTACAATCCTTTAAACTCATAGCCACCACTCCTATTTAGGTGAAACAGTGACCATTATTTAAAGAAATACTTAGGACTCTAAAAGAGTCAAAAAACAAATGGCCGAGAGAAATATAAAGCCACGTATTTCTGCATGGAATTCCCGTCTTTGTCTTGTCTTAAAACTATAAATGTTTACGTTAAACCTAGGGAAAGTTTACAGCCTGGTCTTCCTAATCCTGCCCTTATCCCACAAAGTTAAAAATTAATGGTCATAGATCTCAAAAATTGTTTTTTCTATATTCAGTTACAACCTCAAGATTGTAAAAAGTTTGCCTTTATTATTCCTAAATATAATAATGGACAACCCATTCAAAAATATCAGCAGAAGCTTCTTCCTCAGGGTATACTTAATAGCTCTACTATATGTCAAAAATTCGTACATAGGACTTTAAATCCTGTAAAAAATCAGTTTCCAACTGTGTTAATTTATCATTGTATGGATCTTCTCTGTCCCTGTTTTAATAATTCTCAGCCACTTTCTCGATATCAATGGAAAGTTTTACCTCAAGGTATGTTAAACAGCCCTACCTTGTCTCAAGAACTTGTCCTTTTGCATCATTACAAACTCAGCTTTCTTTCTATTCACTTAATATTGCCCCAGAAAAAAGTCAACTGGATTTTCCTATTCAATATTTAGGTTATACCTTAGGAGCACAAAATATTCGACCCCAAAAAATTCAAAGTCAACGTGATCATTTCAAAATATTAAATGACTTTCAAACGATGCGTCCTGTTTTAGGAATATAACATCTTTTTTCTGTTCTAGAAGGAGACAGTCACTTGGACAACTCACGCCATTTAACTCCTTTGGCTTTACAGGAACTCCAGCTTGTAGAAGAGCAACTTTAAAAGGCCCCTTCCTGATGTTCCCCTTTCCTTTTGTTTATTTCATACTTCACATTCTCCTACAGGAATGATTCATCAGACCAATCGGCCGCTAGAATGGATCTTTTTGTCCAATAAAACATCTAAATGCTTGGCTACTTATATCGATCGTTTAGCTGAACTGATCATCAAAGGACGGCATCACTGTTGACAACTTTGGGGAGGAGATCCTTCCTTAATTATCTCTCAATTCACTCATAGTCAGATCACTTATCTTCTTGCAACTTCTGATTCTTGGCAAGAAGCTTCATCAATCTTGAGTTACAGTTTATCCTTATCCCTCGGTGCAATAGGGAGAATTGTTTGCTATTCTCATGGTCTTACTTGATTTCCCTACTACTGGTTGTAACATTGTTAGTGATTCTCAATACGCCGTTTATGTTACTTCTTATATTTCTCAGGCCACTTTACCTCTTTGTGCTACTTCTTCTCTTCAGAAATTATTTTCTTTGTTATCCTTTACTTTGAGCCAACGTCGAGCTCCTTTATTCATCACTCATCTTCGTTCTCATTCTCAACTTTCTGGACCATTAGTTCATGGTAATACTCAGATTGATTTGCTTTTAATCGGCCACCTACATGCTGCAGAACAAAAATATACTCTACATCACACTAATAGTTCTGGCCTTCAACAATGGTTTCATTTAACTCATAAACAAGCTCGTTCTCTTATTCGAGCTTGTCCTTCCTGTGCTCCTTTGAGCATTCCATCCTTCCATCCTGGGGTTAATCCACGAGGTGTCCCTTCTTTTGGACGATTAAAATGTTCATCATACCATTGATACCTTTTCTCATTTCTGTTATTACTCATCTCTTAGTTTGTTTCACCATCATGGGCATTCCTCTTATACTTAAAACTGATAATGCCCCTGCTTATGTCTCTCATAAATTACAAGTTTTCTTACAGCAATACAATATTCAACATATCACCGGTATCCCGGGCAACAGTCAAGGTCAAGCCATCATTAAGCACGCAAATTTAACCTTAAAAACTCAACTGCTAAAACAAAAAGGGGGAAATGAGCCCCCCAAAAAACCAGATTTTTTGAAGGTTAACCTTTCTACCTTAATTTTTTTGATTTTGAAGGTTCTTTTTACCTTAATTATTTTTTGAATCAATGGAGACAATTGCAAGACTCTGCTGTCGTAACCCATCTTTCTTCATCTCCCTTGGTGATAGTCCCCGCTGACAATTTAAAGATTTGGTATCCTAATGAAGAAGGTAAGTATGTTCTAGGGCAAGTTCTAAAACAGGGACGGGGCTATGCTCTTGTCCTTACAGGGAGCGGACCTGAGTGGTTTCCTACAAGATGATTGAAACCCTGTTGAAAAGAAAACTGGATTCAGCATGCATTTCTTCTTTTGTTGGATGTGCCTCGGCGGGGGACTTATTTCCCTTAGTGAGGCTTTGTATGAATATTGCACTTATATTCCCTTTCCACCCTTGTATCAGGGAGTCGCCTGGGGAGAGGCGGAAATTAAGGTTTTCACCAATGACACTACTTGGATGCCGTCCCCCTATATAGACAAGGACAATATAGAACAGGAAACGGGAATTATAAACAACACATATCAATTTGGAGTGGAAGAACTTCCAATATGCATGGGAAATAGTTCTCATTGTCTCCAAAAATTGCATGAAGCCTGGGTTGTTCGCTATAATCAGTCATGTGGCTGCTAATACTGTTATTATAATCATACTGTATATAGTAATGAAACTATTCCTAGTTCTTTATCTTTTTGTCCTATTCCAGAGGTTTCTCCTAATATTGAGGTGCTGGAGTGGCAACAATGTCGGGGAAATAAACCCCGGATTTTATTAGAATACAATGGGATGCAAATAACTGATTGAAGTGTGCACGGTGATTTTCAAACAAAATTTAGTCACATACCTTTGAAATGGCACCGGGTAAATAAAAGTATTGCTGCTAACAGTAATGAAACCTTGGTACGGCGTGAAGGAGGCCTAAGTACAGAGTCATCTTTGGAAGTTGTTAGCTGCAGGCAATGCCATTAGCATTTTTGTGGGGAATATGCCCCTTAATCTTTCTAACCCAAATAACTCCTTTCATATTCAGTTATATCGAAATACCTCCTGATATATTATTGCTTGTGTCTGTAAGCCCTACCTATTATTAGCAGGGAATTTGACATGGGATAATGATATGGGGATTGTTAATTGTACAGATACGTGTACATTTTTGTCTTGCCTCAATCATTCCTGGTGGCACAACTTTACTGAGGAAATTTATATCCTCAGGGCTCGTAAGGAAATTTGGCTACCTGTTAACCTTACGCGACCGTGGGGGGCATCACCTCTTGAGACTTATATTTGGACTTCTCTCCAGCGAACCCTCCGTGCCCTTGGACTTATAATTGCCTCGGTGATGAGCCTTGTCGCCATCGTCTCCACTGCGGCCATAGCAGGGCTCGCTCTTCATCAAAGCATACAAAATGCTGAATTTGTGCAGCAATGGCATGAATAATCTCACCGGTTATGGCTTCAACAACGAAACATTGATTCTCAACTTGCTGAAAGATTGGACAACATGGAACAAGCCTTGACATGGCTTGGAGATCAGCTCACTGTCCTCAGTACTCGGATAACATTACAATGTGATTGGAACTCCACTCAATTTTGTGTAATGCCTGTGCTTTTTAACATCTCTCAAAATTGGACCGTAATCCGAAAATTATTAATAGGCCATAAAAATATTAGTTTGGACATCCAAGAGCTCACTCAGAACATTTCCGAAGCATTTCGACAACAACTACATGTGTTGTCCGGAACTGTAACCCTTCAGGAGCTGGGTCAGCGCCTTGTTGCCTTTAACCCATGGACCCAGATGAAGACATGGATTTCTACAATCTCTGGAAGTATATTGCTTTGGGCACTTGGATTGGGTCTACTTCTTTTGGTGATTCGATGCTCCCTCCGTCGCCTCCAAAAACAAAAGAAAACACAAGAACAAATATGGGCTACCTTTTTAGGATTGAGGCAAAACAAAAAAAAAGGGGGGGAAATGCAGGGGCCTTTGAAAACAGTATGCTGAGAATAGATAGGGTTCAAGGACAGTATCTCCAATTGAACTTTTAATGAACTCCCGTAGGCGCCAAGAAGGCGGGCAGATAAGGAAGAGCATAGAAACAAAGAACTGAGTAGAAGGTTACATCTGGGAAAAGAAAGTTTGTTTTGCATTGCATTCTTTCTGCTGACGTGGGGTTTATGGAGTATAAATAAAGTGAGGCGGAGGCTCTGAGCGCGGCCGCCATGTTCTCTGTGTGTCTTTGTCTTTTGTGTGTTCTTTCATTCTCCACCACCCCCGGCACGGACCCCAACAGTGGGTTAGAAGTTGATTTGACCACTGAGTATAGGACTTGACTTAAATCACTTCACCTAGAAAATAGATGTTTTGTCAGTTATGGTACTTGGTTATAAGCCACATAAACTTGATCTAGCTAATCTAAACAGAATGGAAGGATACAGAATGGAAGGGAAAGCTGAAGAAGCAGGCAGTCCCAAGGAATGAAAGGCAGCTAAGGATCTCGGTCAGGAAACCATGGCCAGGCATTTCGGATGCTGTTACTATGATGTTTAGCTTTAAACCCCTTGTTTGTCATTCTGCTCAGGATTTACATTCCCAGGAGGCAGAACTCTGTTAAGCATGGAATATAAATGTACCGCTGAGTTGGGGGAGAAGGGGTGACTGATTAACAACATCCAGCATTGCCCCCAGACCACAGGGAATGTGGCAGGCAAAGGTTACCTAAAGGAGAAGCAGGGGGGAGAGAAAAACAATAGATGTTTACACCAAATGCAAATCTAAATAATATGTGAGGCCAGGTGTGGTGGTGCACACCTGTAAGCCTGACACTTTGGGAGGTCAAGGTGGGCAGATCCCTTGAGGTCGGGTGTTCGAGACCAGCCTGGCCAACATGGTGTAGCCCCATCTCTACTAAAAATACAAAAATTAGCTGGGTGTGGTGGCACATGCCTGTAATCCCAGCTACGCAAGAGGCTGAGGCAGGAGAATTGCTTGAACCCAGGAGACAGATTGCAGTGAGTCAAGATTGTACCACTGCACTCCAGCCTGGGTGACAGAGTGAGACTCTAAATAAATAAATAATATGTGAAAATAGTACTAATGTTTCACCCACTGTCTGTAAGACATACACTTTAAATTGATTTTCTAGTACTCTTGGTGCATTAACCTAAAACCATTTACCCTTCCATTTGGTTCCTTTTATTACTAGTGGTACTTATCCATGAGGTGTTGATTCCTGTTCATATTATACAGTAACAAAATCCAATGATCTATTTGGGCACATCACTTTGAGTATTGCTTGCAAGTGCTTTCCCCACTGAAGAGCAACGAAACAATCTCGGCCAGAATTGACTAGCATAACCATTTCACCCCAGTGTGACTCAAGATTGACAATCAGCAGATCTCAGAATTCTCAGGCCTGGCTGGGGACTGCACCGTCGGCTTCCATGGTTCTGAGGCTTCGGACTTGGACTGAGCCATGCTGCCAGCTTCTCTGCTTCTCCAGCTTGCAGTCAGCATGTGGTGGGACTTCTCCACCTCTGTGATTGTGTGAGCCATTTCCTCCTAATAAATGCCCTTCCATGTATCCCACCGGTTCTGTCTCTCTGGAGAAGCCTGACTAACATAGCAAGTAATTCTTGGTTGCTTTAAGGTTGCTTATAAACAAACAGATTAACATAACAAAACAGAAACAAAAAAAGACCAATAAATCGAATTCTCTATCAAATCTCACCCAACAAAGAACAGGTCTCCCTTATTCATCCAACTGAGATAACCAAATAGACCATAAAAGCAGGTCCCCAATCATTGTTTTGTTGCTACCAATAGGGAATAAGTTACTGAAGGTGTACAAACCAGAAACAAAAACAAATATGAATACATAAAATCAGAAAGGGCAAAAGAACTAGAGAGTCAGAAAAGTTCAAGTTCTGTCGCCACCCAGGATTCACTTCGGAGGTCAAGAAAAGATGAGTAGGCAAATCAGTGTCTTGGGCTCCACTAGGCTAATCCTCTCGAACATCTCAGTACATGACCTTCAAAAATGATCACGTGTAATTTCCAAAAGGTCACAAGACATGACTCTCTCTTACACATAAACACGTGACAAGGACTTTATTCAACTCATTAATTAATGAGGAAAACAATAAAATGACAACTGACTCCAAGAGCATTTGAGAAGCTGGGTAATTCTTGGCAACATTAAGATAAGATAAGATTACTGGATTGAATACAAACCTAGCTACTGTTCAACAGGGACACAAATTACCATTTGGGGGCAAAATAAATCATTTCCTTCTTTACCAGACAAAAATCTTCAAATTAACGTGCGACTTCACTAATTCTAAGAACTTGAATAAATAGTAAAGACAGGGCCAGGCGCGGTGGCTCATGCCAGTAATTCCAGCACTTTGGGAAGCTGAGGCAGGTGGATCACTTGAGGTCAGGAGTTCGAGACCAGCCTGGCCAACATGGCAAAACCCTGTCTCTACTAAAAATACAAAAATTAGCCAGGCATGGTGGCGCACGCCTACAATCCCAGCTACAATCCTCGGAAGGCTGAGGCAGGAGAATCAATCGAACCTAAGAGACAAAGGTTGCAGTGAGTCGAGACTGCGCCACTGCATTCTAGCCTGGATGACAGAGTAAGACTGTCTCAAAAAAAAACAAAACAAGACAAAAACAAAAACAAAAAATAATAAAGACTGAATCAAATTACATTTTTCTAGATAGTGTCTTTGGGCAGCCTTTGTGCCTTATGACATGGAAGGACATGTCACCATGACCTTTAACTACTTCAGTGAAAGCCAGCTGGGGTTAAGGTAATCACCCTTGTAATTAATCTCCTTTCTTTCATGACCTGAGAGGTATAGTAATGTAGGTGTCCTGAAGTGTTGGTGACAACACTTTTCTTACATCACTCGCTGACTAGATGACGAAATTCACTCGAGAGTTACTTACTGCAAAAGAAGCTACAAGCTGCAAATCTGAGTGAAAAGGTTAATATTTTTAATATTCTTGATCTTTACAAAAGCATGCCAACAGCTTAGACACATGTATATATTTTTAGGGAAATTATAAAGGATGATTTTTAGTCATTATATGGTAAAGATTTTAAAAGTTTTTAGCTTTGAAATTTTCTCTAAAATATAAGTTAGCCTCCTAATTTTTAGAAAAGACTCTTTTAAGCTCTCATTATCATACCTTTTTATCTTTATATGTACAAAAAGTTAAAACTTGAAATGCTTGGCCGGGTGCGGTGGCTCAAGCCTGTAATCCCAGCACTCTGGGAGGCCGAGGCGGGCGGATCACGAGGTCAGGAGATCAAGACCATCCTGGCTAACACGGTGAAACCCCGTCTCTACTAAAAAAATACAAAAAACTTGCCGGGCGAGGTGGCGGGCGCCTGTAGTCCCAGCTACTTGGGAGGCTGAGGCAGGAGAATGGCGTGAACCCGGGAGGCGGAGCTTGCAGTGAGCTAAGATCCGGCCACTGCACTCCAGCCCGGGCGACAGAGCGAGACTCCGTCTCAAAAAAAAAAAAAAAAAAAAAAAACTTGAAATTCTTTTGTTAGAACAAACTGCTTATAACCAGTTGGATACATATACATACACTATACATATCTAAATGTTTTGTGCAAGTTATATCATTGAATATTAATATTTCTATTGAGTGGCATTGTATTCATAGCTGTTAAGTGACTTGTTGTGTAATGAATAAAATGTTTACAAATATGAGAGTTATAAACTAAATAAAAATAGAATAAGGCCAGGTGCACTGGCTCACACCTGTAATCCTAGCACTTTCGGAGGCTGAGGTGGGAGATCACTTGTGGTCAAGAGTTCAAATCCAGCCTGGACAACATAGAAAGACCCTGTCTCTAC